CAATTGCTGCATCTACATGAGCCACTGTTGCCATAGCATTTAAATACCGAACTTACACTTTAAGATCTTTATGCCTAGTTTTATACCCATTTTCCATTAATTCATTATGGCATAATTTGGTATATTTGAATATAAATGTTTATGGCTGAAAAGGTCAGATGTTGAGACAGACCCTGTTAAAAAAAGGCTGTAACAATCAGACAAAATGGGACTGTGATATCTGGTATTACTACATTTTTCACACTGTAGCTTTTTATGCACTAAGATATGATTCTCATTATTACAATAGAGAAACATTTACAGTCAATTAGGGATCTGGCTGTTAATGGAGTTTCTGCAATATCTTTATAGTATATTGATTGATAATTGACATTATTGTAAACTGATGAAAACCGATAAATGTTGAAAAACTCTCTTGATCCTTCATCTAGCTGTTGAAGAAGAATCCTCTGAAAAGGCTTGGAGGTGGAGAGAGGGATGCACATGAGGTCAAAGGAGAGAAATTCTTTGAGGTAAATCACTTTCTTTAACAGTACATTCTCTAAATAAAGCTTAGGGTTTGCTACTAAACTTCTAAACCTCTTTGACGCTCTGCAGACATTTTGTGTGTTTGTTAAAATCCATGTCCACCACGTCTGATTCAGCCTAATGAGATATTGATTTGTATGGATTAATATGCACTGGCTGAACCTGCCAAGACACATCCAAGCTGTGATAAGCACTTCGGATTATTCCACAGCATTTAATATTGATTCAATATGAAATGATAACTTCATTGTTCACTTTGTGGAACCTTGTCTTTCAGACCATCGACTGGGAAGCCCTGCTGGCCAAGAAAGTCAAACCGCCGTTCCTGCCGGCAATCAAAGAGTCAATGGATGTCAGCAACTTTGACAGCGAGTTCACTCGACTCCAGCCAATCCTCTCGCCTCCCTCCAAGCCCTTCAGCCTCTCTGCGGAGCAGCAGGAAGCCTTCGCAGACTTTGATTTCTGCGCCTTGCATGGATAAAAGATGAGCTGAAAAGACCAGGGTGGGAAATCACTACCAGACAAATGCATCTGTTTTTGTTGCTGGGAAGTTTGTCCACTTAAGAGGTTACCTTGGCAGGTACACTACCATTATCATTTACGTATAATCAACTCCCTTATTGGCTAGTAAAATAAGTCAAGTTACCAGCTACTTTATTTTATTATTTTAGTTTTTTTGGACAAAAACATTTAAGCTGTGAGTTAACATTGACAGGACTTTTTAAAACTTTAGTCTTTGGTTTAGTACTGTATTAGTTGATTCATTTTATTTTTTATCAATTCATCCGTCAATTGGCATAAAATTGGTCTGTGACGTCCTTTGTAGTACAGATACTAAACATTTGCTTATTACAACCACAAATGTTTGCTTCATAGCATTTACATGAATACTATGCCAATAAGCACTTTTTTAACTTGTAATGGCCTTTGTTTGTCATAACTTTTAACAGTTTATAGACAAAATTGATTAATCAAAAAAAAAGATAGACTAAAAGAATAATTCAGCATTTTGGGAAATAGACTTGTTAGCTTTCTTGCTGAGGGTGAAATGAGAAAAAGCTGGAAAAAAGCTAGCCTGCTCTGTCCAAAGGTAACAAAATCCACCTACCAGCCACTCAGCCCCGCTAGCTGTTTCCCTGTTTCCAGTCTTTGTGCTAAGCTAAGGTAATTGACCGCTGCCCGTAGCTTCATATTTACTGTACAGACATGAGTGATACCAATATTTATTTAACATATATTTAATATAACATTAACATTAACATTATTTAACATTTAGGTATTTGCTATTGCTATTAACACTTCAAGCCCCTATATGATCACTTTATCTCTGGTGCAGTAAGTCTCACTTGATTACCCTTTACAGAAAGTTTCCCACCTTGGTCTTGATGGTACTACCAATAGACGAATACCTTGGATATATCTACAGCTCAATCATTTCCAAACAGGACGCTACATACGATCCCATGGCTGATTTCGCGGACTGTTCTCACCATCATTAAGTCAACAGCCAGTCGTCAATCAGATAACCAGGCAGCATCTTTTTTGTTTTTAACCGAGCAAAGAAAGCGATTGTAGCCCTTTATATTCTCTGTGGAGAGTCAAGTTGGTTCTGACTGTTCCAGCAGTAATACAACTCTGCTATAAGAGTTTATTTATAAGATTTGGTCAGGTGAAATGTTGTACAAGTAGATGAAACAAAAGTGATAGAAGCAAATACAGGATGCTTGAAGAGTTTAACATCATCACCTCGTCCTTACACGTTATTCCTCTTGATAGTTTCCTTCCAATACTCCAACACTTGATAATTTGCTGTGTACCTGTCAAATTCAGGGGGTTTAAAAACTAATTTTCAAATTACAGTAGCCATGCAAGACATTTCATAAAGCTGTGATACTGTTTGATTGTTGTAAAAGACTGTCAAGAGAGGTCTGTCATTTTTTAGGGTTGAAGTTTAAGGAACATCCTGCTTTTCAGTGTTACATATCAGTCCAGAGTTCCTCCGTTTGAAGTCATAATTCCAGCGACTTTTCTTCTTGCTAAATTACATGATTTTGAAGATTTTGCATCTGATACACCAGTAGTTAAAGCAGCAACTGCCTGGACTCTGAATGCCTGTAAGCTGCCTTATGTTTCCTATATAAAATGATGATTGTCATACCTCTCTGAAAGTTAACATGTAAGGCATGCTGCCGTTTCTATGCATCACTGTGACAGGCTTCGCCCACTGCCTTGACCAAACAAAAGAAACAAAGCTAACCCAGTTTCTGGTTAAAAGCCTTTTTTAAAAGATGTTCAATCCAACATGGAAATGTTTTGTGTATTTGTCTAGTCATTCCCTCATAGCAAAGACGTGCGCATTCACACATCAGTCTCCTCCTGAGCAACTGTTTTCTGTTACAACAGTAGAAGTGCATGGCACCATGGTGAACTAGGCACTAGAAATCCTGTAATTGCTAGCAGTATAAAAGAAGCCATAGAGAATCTAATATAGCCATAATATTAAGGAAATATCTGTATTTTGAATTTAGCAAATCATATTCTGTGATACTGAGCTCTAATGATGTCAGTGCAATAACAGAAGGGGAAGAAGGGGAGCGGCAGGGACGAAGCTTGAAGATGCATGCCCTGATTTTGTTGAAGTGGACCCATTTTTGATATTTTCAAACTCACAGCTGAGTTCAAAAACATCAGCACTACTGGAGAGCTGGGGGATCTATTGGGCCCTATATAAAAATTAGACAGGGGAATTTAAAGAGTAACTTAACACTAAATCAACTTAGAATTAGTATTTTTAGTATTTAGTAATATGTATATTTTTATACTATTAATCGATCAAGTCCCAATCTTTAGTGTCCATGACAGTAAGTCTGTCATCTAGACTAAAAAATAGGTGATAATGTCTTGTATAAAGATGTAAAAGAAAATAAAAGTTAATATTATTGTACTCTTGTGCCCCAGAGAACAAGGCAACTTCACATTCACCCAATCAAGATATACCGTATACAGACAGAAATCTTTTGGAGAGTTCTGCAGTTTGGAGAGTTCTGTTTCATTAATCCTGACTGCCAAAAACGCTGGAAACCCGGGTATTACATATCGTCTCAGGCCGTCATCTAGAAGGCATAGACCATAGTTATGTGTGTAATTCTTGTTTATAGTTGGAATTTGAAAAGAGATTGAGACTGTAAAACAGTGGCTGAAGTGCATCTGTATGGAAGTGAATATATGTGACAAAAAAACTGAGTGAGCACAAAACAAAAAAATCAGGTTTGAGTGGCCAATCCCTCATTTCTGTGTCTGTGGTCAGTGTAAACTTCAGCTGAATGTGCCCATATCCTTTTTAGGGTCATGACTTATTAAGACAATTTCTCTGTCATGATGACTTAGAAATGTGTGACTTTGCGAGCATATGAAACATACCTTTAATAATTTAATATAAACTAACTTTGATTTTTAAAATAATGCAAATATTGCTCAGTCTCATATGTCACTGCCACTGGATTTTGTTTTGAAAGTGGATGGAGGTGTCTAACAGTGTGACGCTTCCGGGTCAAATCAAATACATTAGTTTGAGTTTCCGCTACTGCAACAAAAAATAAATAAAAGGTCAAATCTTACTTTCCCCATAGACCAACATTATAAAAGAGACTTTTGATTGGACAGCTCAAGCTGCAAAGGTAAATCTCACTGTAAGTCTGTGGGCCAAGCAGGAACAAAGGGGCAGGGCCAGTACGAGAAACGGTAATGAACATGTGCAGTGGGCTGCACAACGTGGAAGCTAGAAAACCTTTTTGTTAACTGAGTGGGTCTTAGTATCTCTTTACTCTAATACATCCATGGTTCCATCCATCCATTCATCGTCAACTGCTTATCCTGCGTACAGGATCGCGGGGGGCTGCAGCCAATCCCAGCTGACATCAGGCGAAAGGCAGGGTACACCCTGGACAGGTCACCAGTCCATCGCAGATCTTTCAGGCTCAAAACATCTGTTAGTCACTTGTGCACAAAACTGACTGTGCTCGTATAAATCTGTGCTCACATGCTCTCAAATGTTGTCTTGCAGGAATTTTAGGTCTCACTCAGTTCTTTTGTCATTTATTGACCTCCATATGTAGAGGTAGTAATTATGTCATACGTGTAGGAGGCGCCTCCGAGCTGTAACGGGGTGTTAAGTTGCTCTTTAAATAGGACCACTGTCCTGAAACCGAAAGGTCCTGAAAGGCCAGTATGTCCATTCATGGCCAAGTGTCCTGCTAAAGTGTCCCTGTGCAATACTGAACCCTCCACCAGATAAGATTGTCAGCTTAATTAGTCAACTCTAACAGAACCAGCCGGTGTTGATTTAGCTGCTGTAGCACTTTAAGTTTATGCTGCTAAATATTATGTGTTACTTATGTGTCAGTACTGTATTTATGTATGTGAAGCATCCTGACTAGGAATGTCAGTCTGTACGGATGTACTCTATAACAACATGCATATCATCAGTGTTTTAATGTACTCTTGTTGTCAATAAATACAAACTGAACAAATGCAAATTGCTAAATATTTTCTCTGCATGTAAAGATCTACTGGTTAATTAAATTTTAACAGTAAAATTAGTTTACAAGGTACAAGACATTATTTGCAACATACATAAAGGCAATTAGTGTTATATTGTTGGGTCACCACTCTCACAAGGCAACAACAGAAACACAAGTGAAAGTGGTGACCAGACCTGAGGAAAAACTGTTTCAATCAGACTGAGTGGATTTCTTCATTCTTTCAACAAAACAGACAGAAAATATTGGGGGATTTTTGCATTTCTGTGATTGTGGACACAGCAAACGCCAGGTAACTCCCAAGTTCTCAATCTTGTTGCCTGGAGTGCACTGAATCAGTGAGTCATTTTCAAGACATACTGTAGTCAGAAAGGGTCTGTAGTAACAATAAAAAGCACAAAACAACCCCCACATTCTTCCCTGACCAAAGTTTAACTAAATATTCAGGACTTGTCTGCAAACAGTGAAGGAAGGGGAAGTTACGGTCCACCAGCCAGATGCTAGTTGTGAGTTTATAGCTATGCTAGGCTGCAATGTGCTTTCAGCTAAATGCTAAAGTTAGCGTGCTAATATTAAGCATGTATAATATTTAAATTTGTATCCATTTCAGTTTAGTGTATAAGAATAGTATAATTTGCTAATTAGCATTGAAACCACAGTACAGCTGAGGCTAATGAGAATGGGGTCGCAGCTCTGTATGTGCACTGAACTGACACTAACTGGGCAAGGGAGTGAGGAATATATTTCTCATTTTGTAGGTAAGGTGTATTAAAGAGAAAACACTCCTTTTTTGGAGTCCATGCATCAGTTAGAAGTGCAGACTCTGAAAATCCTTATTCGGGGACAGCCCTACACCAAAGTCCTTAGGAATCATCACCAGTAAACAGACAGTGGCATCACTGCTAGAGTGGTTAAAATGTTTTTTGTGTTGTACAAAAATGTGCTAGCAGTAAAAGTTAGCAAAATGAGGTATCATATTTTTTATCTGTATCAAAATCAGGTACAACAGTATTGAAAAATTAGTCAGCTATAACCAGGTGAATGCAGGTTATTTGCTTAATGTCTGGTTGTATGTCTGCTGACCAGCTTGCAACAGATAGTTAAGTAACATGTTATGGTCCAATTCAGTTTTACGTTCTACCCAGAAGAGAAATAATTGAAATCTGCTTTTAAGGTTGTGAAATGATTTTCTTTCCCTTAATGCGGTGTCTAGGCTTCAGTGTAAACGGTGACGTGCTGTCAAGTTTGAGGTCAGACCGAGTTTGGGTTGTTTCTGTAGTACATTTGCTCCCACATCACTGTCCTGCAGATGCAGAAGAAATCCCACAGGTTGCAGAAGAGTCCGCGGTCAAAAGGGTTCTGCTCGTCTCCGCAGTTCTTTAGGTACGAAATCCTGTGACGTGACATGAACTCCCAGGTGGTGCAGTTGATGGAGACCAGGTACAGGTGGCAGCCCAGCAGCAGCACCACCACCACCGAGAAAACACCAACAACACCCAGCGCTGCCAACAGGAACCCGTTTGCTCTAAACCACAGCTCCCACGTGACGATAGGTGAAATACCAGACCTGAAAGACACACACTAGTGTTAAAGAGAAATACAACCAATGGTGGTCTTCATTGTCAGTGGTGCTCTCTGCCCAGAACAATGCCCGACAGGCTGAGTGTCCTGCCAAGCTATGTACAACCCCTAGCAAGTATCATCATACACATCACTCACCACATGTTAAGGTTTAGGTTATAGATGGTATCTATTTACTTTTTGGTCCTGAGGATTTAACACTCATGACTCATGACAGGGTTGATCACATTCATATATTATTTAGATTTGATTTTTGGACATGAGAAGCAGGTCTGTTAATCCTAGCAAATGATGCAGAATTTGTCGGCAATATATGGGCAAAAAGAGATCAATGAATGAATTCCTAGCACTCTCATAGGTTGGGTTAAACATCAAGTGAAGGACACGGCTGTATTAATATTAAGTACTGTTAGACTGAAAACAACAAGAGGTCATAGAACAGGGAAGAAAACATTCTGAAGACAAACTCTGTTTATTATCGACTAATTTACCAGAAAAAGAGGGCAAAGATCAGAGATAAGTCTGAAACAATTAAAGTAATGTTATGGTTTTTTTAATGCTTTCCTCTTCTGTTAATCATCTCGAAACTCCTCGAATTCTTGTGGCTCCTTGCGGTGGCCCCAATCACTTGACCATAACATCTTATACAGTATGTTCATAATATTGGTCTGTCTTCCTTTTCCCAGCTGCAACAGCACCCATGTGCTTGCCTCTCTTCACTGGCTTCCGGAAATTATTTTTAAATTAAATGTTTTTAAGGGCTGATGTCTTCTTACATCTCTGACCTTTTCAACCGTCAAATCTTCTCCAGGTCTCCAGGTTTTATGAAAGCTGTTGCAGTCTAGACTGAAACAAGAGGCAGATCAACCCTTTGCTGTTGTAGTCCCTAAATTATGAAACAGCCACCCTCTTGGTATTAAAGAGCGCTCCAACAATTGAACGTTTAAATATATAAATACCTGTTTTGCTCTATTCGTATATTTATTGCAGATTTTTAACTGTGCCTTGAAAAGTGTGCAGCACTTTGGTCAACTTGTGTTGCTTTTTTTAATACATAGTTTGACTTAACTTTATTTGGGAAGAGTTCCTACTTTGCCTTTCATGTCTGCCATTTTGTTCAAATGCATCGAAGAGTTATCTGGCTCTGTTCATTGATGTTTAATCCAACCAGTGAATTTATTTCTGCCTCAAAGAGATGTGTATATACCTAAAGCTACAATCTACAAAGAGCTTCGTAGCAGTTCATTTAAACTAAAAGCCTGCAGGATTGATTTCTACACATGAGGGTCTCCTGAACGTTGAAATTGCACTTGAGCACATTAAAGCCCCGTTTACATAATTTAAGCAGAGATTGTTCTACCAATTTACTACTATTCTAAAGTGTTACCTAATTCACCTACTATTGTAGAGATAAACCTGCAGAGCAGAGTTCACTGTCACTATGTGATAATATTTCACTGAGTCATTATTAGACAGCACACTGAGGCTGCAACTATTCAACCAGATAAGGACAGTTATCTTAAACAGAAGGAGACCAGCGTTCACCAAACGTACAGAGCGATGTGAAGGGCCCACAGCAGAGCGAGTAGCTGCACCAGCAGGTAGATGATGAACCAGCGGTGGTTCCTTTCTCCCACACAGTTCTCAATCCATGGGCAGTGGTGGTCGAAGCGCCGAACGCAGCATTTACATGTCTGACAATGCTTCGCTCTCATTGGCTGCTGCTTGGAAGAAAGAGAGAGAGAGAAGTGCTATTTACATTTACATTTACTCATTTGGCAGACGCTTTTATTCAATGCGGCTTACATTTGAGGAACAACATACAAGCATTAACAGAGCATCAAATACAGATCTACAACTGACAATACATACTAGTAAGAGCTCATACTACATATCACATTAATGGGGTAATACCTAGGGAAGGAAATAAGAGTTAAAAAAGTGCAATCAATACAAGATCATTGAGGGGATAGACGAAGAAGAGCACAGGAAGTGCATGTTAGAGGTTAGGAGTTAGAGGTGTTATAAGAGGAAGTGTTCTCGGAAGAGATGAGTCTTCAAGAGCTTCTTGAAGTTAGAGAGGGACACCCCTGCTCTGATGGCGTGTGGTAGCTCGTTCCACCGTCGTGGTGTCACAGATGAGAACAGCCGGGACTGGGATTGCTTTGTGTGTAGGGATGGCAGAGCCAGGCGGCGTTCGTTGGAGGAGCGTAGCGGCCGAGAAGGAACGTAAGTTTGTATTATGGAGTTTAGGTAGATGGGTGCAGACCCAGTAGTCACTCTGTATGCAGGCATTAGAGACTTGAACCGGAGTCTGGAGGCCACGGGGAGCCAGTGGAGGTCACTCAGTAATGGAGTGACATGAGCCCTTTTGGGCTGATCAAAAACCACACGCGCTGCTGCGTTCTAAACCATTTGTAAGGGTTTCACCGCTCAAGCTGGAAGACCTGCTAACTAGGGAAAAAGTTAAACCCCTCGTCACGTCTTTCAGGCTATTCATCTTGTCTTTTTTTTTTTAACTACCAATGTTAGCTGTATAGCATACTGGGTAATGCCACAATACCACATAGAATGCAATGTGATCATGAAGCAGGTATTAAACCTGCTTCATGATCACACCGGCCAATGTCTTAAAGGAAGCTGGAAAACCAGTAGGGAATAGAATGACATATTATTATATTTTGTCAGCGTTTTCTTTCACTAGTTCCCTGCATATAGCAATAGAATAGTTCCTAATGACATAATTAAGTAAATTAAAGCAACCTGGTACCAGATAAGCAGCAGAAAATGTATGGGTGGATTAACCAATTCAATTATTAATTCATTTAAATTCATTTTTATCATTATGACACAATGAATTCCTAGTTACTGTAGAGTGCAGTAATGATGATGGTGCAGACTGAAACTCCACATAGAGATTGAACAGCCGCCTGCAGCAAAATCCAGTGTCACCACAGTACGGCTTTTAGTTTATAGGTGTGTACCTGCAGCTCACAATCAAGACAAAACAATTAATACTTTTCTACATCACATTTAAGACATTTAAATACATTATATGGCCTTTTTTTCAAAAGCACTGATCTGTATCATCAGGGTGACAAAAGGTTCCACCACAGTGAACATGTCTGATTGTAATTTTGCCAAATGTGTCTCAAGTGTTTTAGACACAACAAGAAGAAAAAGGAAATCTGTGTTTGAGTTGAAAAGGAAACAGAATATACAAATATGTGACTATACAGACTTGCTCAGAGAGCATACAACTTGTGATGAAACCTGTACCTGTAGCAGGCAGTATCCACAGCGCCGCAGCCGAGGGGTTGAAGTCTCAGGAATCATCAACTCCATTTCCTCATTTGAACCCTGAACGCCCTGCGCAACACAGACTGATGTGGGTCAAACACACACACACCGTTCCATTTACTAAAAACCATCACCACTGACCATTTTCTATGGTATAGTTTAGGTTTCTAGATTAATTCCTACCCTTTAAGCACCTATTGGTTATCATACATTTCAAAACTTCCACAGACTTTAAAATATGTGATCGTGTGACAACATGTTCCATCACAGTGAACATAGTGTAGTTGAACATACAAAGTGATAATATAAGCTGGTGGAAAGCTCCAGCATTTGAGGTCTGAGAGTCAGCTGTTTGAACAGTAACCATCTTGGAGCAATAAATGCTCAAAAATACACACAGTTTTCATGACACATGTGTCTGCTTGGCTTTTGTGGTGCGGGTTTTGTTAGTCAGTCTCACCTGGACAGTGTCAGTGAGAACAAAGCCAGGGTCCATTAAAGAAACAGCAAAGTATAGCACCACCGACAGCACGACCAGGAGGAAGAACAGAACCGGCACAACAGCTCTCCTCGCTCCTCACACTGCCGCAAATCTGCACATTCACACACACACAAACACATAAGAGAGCTAAACTAGCCAAATATGTTTTAAAACCGAGACAATGAATGATATTGTGGATATGACTTTAGGTGCTTCTATATAATATAAAATCAGTTACTTAGTAAGCTAGAACGGTCAGATAAGCTCAGAAAATTGTATTTACTTTAATACAGACTTGCAGAACCAGGAAAAGACAACATTAAAGCTGTATCATCATCACAATATTACAATAACCAAACACCAGGATGATTATGCTATCTCATATAATGATATTAAAGAGGCCCTCCACTAGGGCTGGGCGATATGGCCAAAAATGTTATCACGATAAAAACATTTCTTACCATTCGATATCGATAATTATCACGATAAATGTCAAATCATTAATTCTTTCAAGTTTAAAGGCTGATTTTTGTTCCTGAGTGAAAGTCAGATGGTAACTTGGGGTTTTAAACTTCTCTTTATGGTCGGAACAAACACTTGATGTCAAACAGTGGATCACTTAAAAAATCTGAGGGAGAACATTCAAAATGATTGTGATAAAATCTTTTTCCAACAAATGTGATTTGTAAATAATTTTTCAGTCCCTTTTCCTAAACAAATTAAATATCATAATAGAAAAAGTAAGTGCTAACTCGTTTGTGATTCAAATGATTTAAATAAAAAAATATTTACTATATTATAATATAATTATAATATAATATTAATATTATCTTGAACATTGAACAAAATGATATTATAATAATTATTGTTTTATTGCCCAGCCCTCCACCGATGCCTGTGAAAACAGTTTCTTCTGTGGTTCCGCACAGAGTTTTCTAGTATCTTCTATATCTTGGTCTCTGCGGCTACGATCCTATTTTCATGTCTGTCCCACCTTTATGGAAGTGCAATGCTAAATCTCTGGAGTACCCCTTTCATTTTAATTTTAATCTCCACCTCAAGCACACACATTTCCTTGGTGTTGGCTTGTGTCTGTTCCTTTATGTAACCAGGTGAAAGTCTCACAAAGATATTTTCCAAGTGAGTTAAAAACATGATTACATCAATAAATACATATCAAACAACACGGAGCATAAATATAATCCAGCATTCAGGACTATCCAGATAGTTATGGAACCTGGAGCTGGAACAGCCCTATCTCTAAATACTCTGTTTATCATTGTCCTGTCTAACTGTTGTTTGAGGAACAATGTGATCTGTTGTCAGGGCTTTCAGATAGTGTAATCTCCCTCCACTGAACCAGAATACAACCTGTCCCAGTTTGAACAAACTTACCGGTGTTGTGAAGGCACAATATGAGGGTTATAACCCAGGTTAGCAGGGTGTGTGCGGCCCGAACCAGAAACCCGGTCCTAAACATGTTCTTCCCCATTTTAATCTATTTCACTCACCGCTGCTAAGCAGCTAGCTCACGTTAAGTATTTACAGAGACGTTAGCTAATTTTACTACATACCTACGGTGGTTATCCGTACGACACTTAGGTTGAATACATTCTGACTATGCTAGGAAATAAATGTGGAATTTATAAAACAATACTGTATCTAACTACAGTCTTAAATGCGCATTATATCCATTTTTTTCTGGTTATCGTCGCAGCTTCCGTGTTTTGATAAGGAAGTCTGCGTAGGACAAACTAATGTGTGAACTGAACCCTGTGCTAAAAGTCAAACGACTTATAATAACAGTAATCCTAAATCAGCTAACGTTATATAACAACACTGTTTACTGTTCAGTGTCTAATCCCATCCTGTTAGTATCTGCTGTTTTTCGTTTTGCATTAAATGTAGGCCTATAATCTCCACAATGTAAGAATGTAAAAACATTCTCAATGTCACTAAATAATCATGCAAATTTACTGAAATATGAAAACATGCACAAACTAAACCACACTGTTTAATAAGTCAGCTATTTTTGTGATTTATTTGTATGTACAGAGAGCTAGTCTGTCTTTTATCTCTGTCCAGAGGGAGAAAGCTTCTAGGAACAGCTGATTAGCTGAAAGAGATATTGTTCTCCAGCAAAGTAATGTTTCACTTGTTTCTTCACTGTATGTGAAGGTTAGCCAAAAAAACACGTCTCTGCTATTTCTGCCACCACCCAGTCCAGTGAAGGTGTATTAGAACAAAAGTGTCCCCAAAGAATAATTCACAGAACACACTGTCAAAACGTTTTATTAGAAAGGAATTGATACCAGAGAAATAATTCCCATCAAATGTTCTCAAATGTTTTATGAATAATGGAGAAAGGCTTTTGAAAATACAAAATTATTCCAATCTAAAGTATCTTGTTACTTGTTGGCTATTGGCACAGTGGATAAGACACACACACCTTTGGTGTGGGGGACCTGGGTTTGATTCCCATTACGATCCGCCAATGTGTCCTTGAGCACACACAACCCCTAGTTGCTGTGCAGTGGCTTGCAACCTCTGACATCTATAGCAACAGTAAGTCACTTTGGATAAAATGTGTCAGCTAAATAACTAAATTACAATATTTTTAGCCCTGTCAAAAACAAATAACAAATACTTGTAAGTAATTGAAATACGTATTTAAAATACAAGTAACAGAATTACTGCCCACCGCTGAATGCAGACATGTCAAATCTGCATGGCTCAACATCACTAATGGAGGTAGAAAAAAAAATGGTGCTTTTTGCTATTTGGGCTATCTCAGTTTGTTAAATGCAGCTCTAACAATAAACCTTGATTACAACTAATTTCTTCCTGTTCATGTCATATGGGATGAAGGGTAGAAATGGAAAAGAGATTACACCAAACTGTCTGAGAAGCATCCATATTTGTTTGGTTTGGTCAGGGCGAATACTGAGTGGGACATTATTTTCTATTTATGCTTCTTCACATGCAGAGCTTTTTTTTTTTATTTTTTTATAAAATATATTCATGTTTGTTATGCAACAAAACAAAACAAATCTTGTATGTGAAAACATGATTTTGAGCTCTAGCGATTCCAACTTGGATGTTGGCATGCGACCTATAGTGCGGATAGTGTAACAATCAGCAGAGTATAAATGAGAAAACAATTTGTGCCTTCCTTAAATACCAATTAGTTACGGATACATTTATCATAGATGAAAATACTGCACAATATTAAAAAGCCCCGAACTAACGCCACTTCTTCCTTGGTCACATGCAATGGCACTTTGACCTGTATGTTGGGAAAATAATGCGCATGAAAATCATATTTCCAAATTTTCTGTCACTTCTCACCAGCTGATTTCACTGATTAGTTCCTTTGTCCCTGAATATGTAAGAAGCTGCTGTAGTTTGTGGTTGAAGTGGACAAATTACAGTGCTTAAATCTGCTCAATTCTGTACAAAGGGAAGACGGACTCCATAATTACAAGAATTTGTATTTATTTGCATCAAAATGGTCCATTAAAACAATACTAAAACTTATTCTTTTGAAAAGAATTAAATCTTAATACCTGAATTGAAACGACATTTATTCAGAGACCCTTCCAGCATTGATTAAAGTGCATTACGTCACTCCTCTTTTTCGAGTATATATGTTGCGTAAAGAAAAAACAAAACATGTGCTCTTCTGCAAATTAAACAATCTGCTCTTAAACCTGAGGTGAACATTAAGACATGTATACATAATCTGAAGCTATTTGCACAAACATTTCAGTTGCTCAAACAGCAGCAGTGACTCATGAGTGTGAACTCCAACCCCTTTTTCAGCATTTCACCAGACAACTACATTTAGTGTTTGATAGCCACATGATAAGGCTGTTGCCTGGTGTTCGCTAAAAATCACACATTTGGCTCTACAGACAGAAAACATGCAACATTATACCTCCTGTCTTCTAGACAATAAAATAAATACATGATGGATGGAAATAAATACACTAGTGTCATTCAGAAAATCCTAATCATTCATTCAGGACAGGGGTGAAAAGCCATCAAACTCGCATGTGCAAAATCCTCTCATTTAGGAACACAATTATTTATTCCTACAGGCAGAACCGTTAAACAATAAAACTTAAGAGCTTATTAATGCTTTATCTGCCATGTAAAAACTATCTGAATGAGAGTTTTTAGTAGTTACGCCACACGAGTGCTAGCGATGCATCTTCAACTGACTGATCAAAGCTTTAAATGTCAAAACATGGAGAAAAAAAAACAAAAAAAAAAAAAAACAAAAAAAAACAAAAAAAAACAAAAAAAAAAAAACACCTTGACTCTTGCTCAGGCACCAAAACACAAATGGCAGGAAGAGCACAAACATTTGGTCCTCGATTTAGAATCACTTACATTCCTCATGTTACTCGGCAACTTATTTAAAATATAAATAGCAGCAGTCCCGAAAACCTGAGCTCACAGAGTCCATATCCTCCACCTTGGCTTTCCCAACTTTCAGTGTCCTTTCATCAGCTGACATTCACAGAATGAGACGACTACACGAACCCTCAGAGGGGCCAAAAGGTCCCTGGGATTCTCTAGCATGACCACTGGGAGACAGGGGTAGTGGTGTTTGGGTGGGAGGGGGTGAGGGTCACTTCACGCTCTGAAGTAACTGGACAATGAGAGGGGGTGTTTCAGCGTGATGTCACGCCCAGGTGTGTCTTCAGGTGCTCGTACACCACGTAGCTAATGCTGACAGCGGGGATGACTTTGAGGAAGTTGGGGGCCAGGCCTCTGTAGAGCCCAGTCGGGCCCTCGTTCTGCAAGATCTGCTTGAAGAGTCCCGTCATTGTCACCTGCTGGCTGCCGCCTGTCGCAGCTGCAAAGATTAAAAAAAATAAGATGATGGAATGGTTATGAGCTGCATGTTTGACCATAAATGTATCAGGTCAGTATCTGCCTTTTTATTGGCCAATACAAATGACTGAATCATGTCCTCCACCTCTGATACCACAGTTATGAGGTATCCTCCCTTACCACAGGAACATAATAGGCGTGGCCCTTTAAGGAGCTGCTACTTCTTTAATAAACTTTTTAAAGTCTACATTTCAAGTAAGTGTGTACTACCACCACCACAATTTTCTGTAGTATGAAGACACGAAATATCTAGGCAATAAATTGCATAGTCAGCAATGTGAGTATTTTTTCAAATATGCATTAGTTTTGTTAAAGCACAGTATTTCAGGAGTAGAGGCCTCACCTTGGGCTTGCATGCGGGTGCGGACCAGAGCCAGAGGGTAACTGGCGAGCTGACCACAGGTGCTGGACACGGTGCCGCAAGCCAGCAGGACGAACATGCCGGGGTCTGTGCTGTTGCTGCCGTACTGCTGCAGGTAGCTGTTCTTCAGTGTCTGAGGGGGGAAAGTATGAGATGAGAAGGAGCAAATTCTACTATTATCCTAGGTTTGTGTATGCGGCTGTCATTTGGTCAGATTCTGTTATGCAACTCGTGAGTTTTGTGCCAGTGTTTTTTTTAATTGCTTGAACACTTGTAACTCAGTGTGAGAAGTAAAAAACTGTAAGTCTGGTGAATTTGCAGGTGAAGAGGTTAAACATAGAGTCACAATAAGTAAGCTATGTGTTGAGTTTATTAGCAGGGTGATACAATACAAACTGTATGCATTCTTTAACCATTAAGGTTAAAGAATGCAAGAAAACCGTTGGTGTGTGTAGTAGTGACTGCTCACCTCATACACTGCCAGGTCGATGCCCGCGTAGGGGATGATGCCCAACATGTTGGGGACGTAGCCTTTATAAAATGCGCCAAGTCCTTCTTTCCTGAAAATCTGCTTGGCACAGTCCGAGATACCAGAGTACTGGCCAGTCTTCCTCAGAGCAAGACGAGTTTTCAGGACCTGTGGAAAGATTAAGCAAAGAAAATGTCAGTTTCATTTAACTGTAAAAGTCTTGAGGAAACCTCAATACAGTAATCTAGTGCCTTTTTATTTTTAGAATAGATCCAGTTAAACTGATAAATCACCTCCATGGGGTAGATTGTGCTCTGGGCGATCACTCCAGCCAGAGATCCGGCAACAAATCGCTCCAAGATGGTCAGAGTCTTGTTATCGCTACCGATTAAACGTTTAATCTGGAGAAACCAATTGAGAAAGAAAACACACATTAGTGAACAGATGTCAAAAATACTAAGAGTCATAAGTTATACATTTATAGAGTTAAAATTCAAAAGAAAAAGTTACTGGTCATACCTGCTCATATGCCATGAACTTAAGGGCAGACTCGGGGCAATTTTGATGATGTTCACACCATTGCCTCGCCATAACGACCTCATACCACCCTCTTTGATCATCTGCGTCAGCCCGGTCATGATGCACATGTTGTTGGTTCGGGATCCATAAACCTGAGAAGGAACACATTATATATAAAAATCAGTGTGATGGAAATAAACTATCCTAAACTTCTGTCTGACAGGGAACCAGCTACAACTTGGAGATCTGACTTTATTTTAATGGCCAGTGAACTAATTAAGATGGCAGTTGAATTTTGGGAGGAACCAAGCACGGTGCCATGTAGGCCAGGATTTCTTTTGACCTAAAAATGAGGCCAACTAGGTCTGTTCAATGAGTTGATAAATACAAACCCAAACACACAGTTCCTAATCAGTGGGGCTCAAAGTCAACAAGATTGTTTCAAAGTCGACTCTCCACTTGGCAACTGACGCAAATCAGAGCCGTTGACACAGATCCTCAATCTGAACAGGTAGGCCTTCATCACACGACTGTCAGGTTTACGCAGTCGAGGGTGTGATGACCCTGTGTGAGCAGTCATTGGTCGGCAGTGTGGCCTGGCTTTCACATACAGACTCTGGCCCCCATCTCTTACACACCGTCTATTAAACATTAACTTGTTTATGGTCATTAGATAACTCACTCTTGAGCAATTTCTTCAAAGTCTCTTAACTGATTTTGCCATATGCGGTTACGAAAGAAAACTGTGGCCTCAAGGACATGCTCATTCACATTATCTTATTCAAAATGTATTTTTGGAGTTTAAATCTCAGGGAGGTTTCAGCATAATGTACATTATGTCATGGTAGCTAAGCAAAACAGCTGAGAACTGGGTCATTTCACCTACAAGCAGATGATCATACTCTCCTAGAACAAATAGTAAGATAAGAGTTTCCACAACGTCCCCGACACAATCTGTCCAGTTTCCATATCCCCCAAGGTCTGGAAACTTGGACACACTTTCCCCACTTCAGTGCCATAAAAGCTTGATTTGGTCGTGTTACCTGCATCATGACTTTGAGCCGGTCCAGCGGCGCAGTGCACGTCCGTGAAACCGCTCCAGCTCCTCCACCAGCAACCAGGTGCCTCCACCACATTCCAGTCTGCTTCTCCTCTACAGTGAACTCATCAGGCACCATCAGGTTCTCACCCACATCGAATATCTGCCGGAGAGAGAGAGACATGAATCATTAGGAATAGAGTAGATATTGAAAATGCTTCCACGAAAACCCAATAACTTTTAGTCGAGGTCAGAAGATGGCCTAGAATGTCATCTGGATGTTTAGTTGAACTTCTGTATTGTTTGTCTTCACTGCCAGCTGCTGTCACTTGAAGTTCCCATTCTTTATCAAACATCAGTTAGTCAGTAAAAGTCTTTCTTGTTAGCAGCACATGATTGTGGTTTTATGAGTCAGAGTCCCCTGCCACAGTAAAGGTCAAACTGTCAGTGAAAACCAGGTTTGATTTCACACCTGGATTATCATGAACACACAGTTTTGAAATTTAAGCCATAATTTTAAACGAGCCTCCACAGGCAAAGGGCAAAGGTGCAGGTCCATAACGATGTTTCAAAATGATCTAGGTCAGGAGCAGGACGCAGACCCGTTATAACTGGATCGGTCTATCACTGCAGCTTTGGATCTCTGCCATCTCTGGTCCCCTTTAACAGGAGTGTCAATTTCAATAACTAGGTAGGAACTTATAATATCAAACAGGGAAATTTAAGTTTGTCTGACAACCTGATTGACAATCTACTTTCTAAATAATTTGAGTTTGCTTTAGATCTCATTCTGACAAGAAAATGTTGATCTGATTAAACAGCTCATTTACTGCCCTGTCCTAATTAGACGATATCAACAGCCTCCTCATCACAAATAGCTGGTTCGGTGGACACACTGGTTCTGCACTGGGAGATTAAACTTGTGACCAGACAGAGTTCAAGCATTTTTTCGCAAGCAACTCGTCTCTCATCAGCAATTCGGCTGCATTTTGCTTGGCCTCCCAGGAGGGGCAACTCCAGCTCTATTCTTGGTCCTGGTTCAGCCAGTCAGCGTCAAGACAAGGCTGCTAGACTCATTAGACGGCACAGCATTGAAGAAACTAGGACACCTTAGACCACACTGTATCACCTACAGGAGCTGCACTGTATTAACTTTAGTCTCCACCTGTGCCGACTCCCTTTTACATAACGGCTAGACAAACTGAAACCCTTCAGACATAATCCTCCCAGAATGGCACCAATTCCTTTCATAGTCTAATAGAGCTTAATTGATGACGCACGGCTTGTTCTGATTGAGCCTTTCGAGAATTTGCTTTTCAGATAGGAGGAAGGTGCAACGCTCTGTGCACTTTGATTAGTTGTTGATCAGCTTGAGCAATACAATCACTGGATGCCCCGATACCATTATCTGACCTAAAAAATTATTATGCAACATCACCTTCTGATACCGACCGTGGCATTTTCTAGCTCTTTCCACATTACTTTATATTAGTCAAACTATTGATACAGATCTTCCCTGTTTGAGTTCTGGTTGTCAAAGAGCAAGATTGTTACAGTTTAGCACATGTTGCCGTTTTGGGCAGAACTTGTGGTTCCAGAGCAGACTGTTGAACTAACCGTGGAGTGTTTCCAGTAGAGGATAATCTCAGGAATGTTCTCAGTCTTCTCCACCATGGGGTAGTTGCTCCAGTCTTTACTGCTGATAGTTATCATTCCGTTCTTATCCATGCTTTATTAAAAAGAAAGGAAAAAAAAAAAAAGACAAGTGAAACTAAGATAGAGCTCCTTAATTCAACAGTCCAACATTGCAGTGGATGAGATGGTCGAATGAAATTACCTCTTAAGGGCTTTCTCCGC